TGATCATTTCCATGATAATCATTTACAAGCTAGCACCAAAATGGAATGAATCATCCATTTCCATCAGGATTCCGAACATAATGCAACCCTATTTCCTAATCAACCCACTTATCCAGGAATCTGCCGTTAAAATAACATTGAATAAACGTAGTTTTAACGGAATAAACTTGTGATCAATTCATTTTTCAACGCCCTATGTCTGAAGGGAATATCTTGATTGTTGAGCTAGTCATTGCTCATCGCGTTGGTAATTTATTTTCCTTTGCCACATTTCTGCCTTGCATATAGAGTGTACATTTCACCAACAGGCAGGACTAGGACAGCACACAGCGTTTGAGTGGCGATTGAATATTCTCAAGGCAGTACAGATGAACCAGCCGCAGCTGAGAGATCCAAGAGACCTAATCCAACAACTCTGGCAGTACAATGGGTGAGTTAGAGCATCAACTTAAAAAATATATACCTATTTCCCAAATAGTCAAAATGCCAAATTTTCCTCAAAAATTATTTATGTGAGGAGACAGGGCACCAAAAACCCAAGGTTCTCTTTCCATTAGCATAATGGCATCAGATCTTCATCACAAATTTTATAATATTAATTATAAAATTACATATTTATCAATGAATAATATATTATTAATACGTATTATAAAATCTAAATCATATTATATTCATAATATAATTTATATACAAATTTGATTAATATATAATATATTATTAATATGAATATATTACAATATATAAATTATTATTATTTGTATGATATTATAATTCATAGGTACCTATACTAATTTGATGCCATTTACAGTCAAAAAAATGACTGGAGCTCAGACTACAGGGAAAACTTCATCATCGGACTGGTGCAGGGGCTGGTGGCCGGCAACCTGACGCATGAGCAGCTACTGGCAATGAAGCACCATAATGACAGCAACACTAACCAGCAAATGCTGAATAACCAGCACCCATTACATCAAGTTGATATCAATGTAGCAAATAATGGACAAGATATAAATAATGGTTATTTGAGCAAACATTATGCCACTACTAATCCCCAAAGCCTAGATTTAATAGCAGTAAAAGAGTTACTGCAGACCATGGGGATTAATATTGAGGATTTAAATAGAATTTTCAGAAATGAAACAAATACATTGAATATAAATGAAACAAAATGGCATATGCAAGGCCCCTATGAGAGAACAACTGAAAATTCAATTATCTATACCAGAACAGATAGTCCTAGGGTGTTTCTCAAGCCATCTGAATCAGGAGGACAGCTGGACTTTACCAGCTTTGCAATATCAAACACAAGTTTGCTGTACCAGCTTTTACAGCACAGAAACCAATCCATTTATCAAACACCAAGAGATGCAAGTAACCTGAGTTTTGTAGATTTGCGTCCAAATGACGCCACTGAAGATTATTCTCAGGAGCTGACTACAATCTCTGATGAAGAGTTAACAACAACCGAGCTTTCAGACTTGCCATTTATTACAGAAGAACCAGATATCATTGAAACACAAGATGAACAATTAGGTACAAGTACTCCAATGGAAATGAATATTGCAAGCACCATCCCCAATGAAATTATTGTTCAGGATCCAAGTATTGAAAAAAATGAAACTATAGTGGTCTCTATTTGCTACATGAAGGTGAGTTACGCAAACTTGTATAATTTTTAATGCTTATCAATTTAATTAGCTTTATTCTATGCATGGTATCAGGTTCTCACTACCGGTATATCATAACCTACATATGCATCGTAAAAACTGCCCCTATTCTCATCATTATTAAAAAGACAAGCAGTATTTATGTCATAAAGAACTAATTTCAAACTAGATAATATGCAGACTGAATATTTCAAGAACCTCATACCAGCCATCAGCTACTGATATATATACTACATATGCTTCATGAACATGACAATTTCAAATTTAAGATGAAAACTGATGATCACTATATTTATTTCAGGACAGTTTCATTCAAGGTTTCACAACTTCAGCATTTTTTATAGTGTATAGCATCCCAGCACTTCTGGCAATGTTCTTTTGTGGGCGCTCCTTATTCCTTCTCACCACAAAAACAGTCAAATTACCAAGAACAGAGAGAAGGAGAAGTGAACCACAAAGAATACAGCAGAGGGAACATCAGCATCAAGCATGGACAGAAACCTCAGAAACAAGACAAGAAAATCCTACAAGGAAGCTTGACAATAATTCAGGAGCATCTATGCTACATCATCAGAATCAAATGAGCAACACTTCAAGAGTAAGATAATAACTTAAAAATATAACCGATACTCACTGCAGTGAGTGACAGAGAGGGCATTTTCTTGTTGACGAAAATGTGAAGTCATGGACAGACAGACAGACAGACGGACATGGCGAGCACAATAGTGCATTTTTTCCATTAATGAGAAAATGTGCTAATAATAAGAGATGCATGAAAATTATATTACAAGATAAATTTCCATTACAAAAAACTTGCAGTATAGAATTTTTCCCATCATACTATAAATGTTCAATATTAATGTCATTTACAATATTAATAATGTCATCTTGGCAACATCTAGGTTTGGGACAAACTTGCTATGCAAATTATATGGAATAATAGATGATATTTCCTGTCCACAGGATCTTGGAATGGTTTTAACTTCTATAATTATGTGGCTGCCTCTGATGGTGGAGAGGCTGGTATACAGCTGGAGAGATGAGAAGTGTCTACCAACAGCTACCAATGCTGCAGACTATGCCTTGATTCTTGCTGTTTCACACACTGTGCTTCGAGCAATTTATTACATCTTAGATGACTTGAAGGTAAGTTCATGGGAAGTAAAAATATGTTGATAAGGGGAACTAGACTAACTGCATACCGGTATACATTACATAATTTAAATGCAAAGTATTTAAAAGTTGTAAAATTAATGTGCTCATAAGATAGGAGATAAATTTTCAATACTAAAGGCATTACTGTCAACTGGGGTGACTTTGTCCACACCTACAACAGAAACAAATGGCAGCAAAACAAAATAACAAATGTTGGCCAAGGGACTGGGTTGACTTTGGCCACCGGGGTGACTTTGGCCAATGCTTATCATTTTGTTTGCTGTCATTTGTTTCTGTTGTAGGTGTGGCCGAAGTCACCCAGTTGATGGTACTTCACAGTCAGGATGATCAGTATCAAGTCTGCTTCATTCATACTTGAGTAATACTGACCTGTGGCTATCCTTAATATGACATTGCCAATGTGGATAATGTGTTAAAATATGAATAACTTACTTGATGAACCTTAATTTAATTTCAAGCTCCCAGATTTCATAATACCTTTTGCTTTTAAATATCCCTTGTCAAACTTTTATGGCTTCAAATCATGGAGATCAAGCTATTTTTCACATTGAATACTCATTAAGACACGTAAAATTTTGTGCTAGAAGAGTATTCTTAGCAATCAATGCATCCATAACTTTGTAGGCACATTAATCTTATCAAATGGAATGGCACAAACTGATCCACATACCTGGCTGCAAATAAAGAGATATTCCAATTGACAAACAATTTTTAAATTTCTTGAGCTTCTTCAAGGTTTTTCAGATCTTACTTATGCTAATGCTTCTTCACAAAAATCAAGCAAGCAAGTCAGCTGAATAGCTCTTAATTAAAAGCTTAGTTGAAAAATTTGAAATTTTTTAATCAAGCTCATTCCAAGCTGTGTCGTATTCCGATACAGCTCACACAGTGTCGGAATTCCAACACAGGGCGTCGGAATTACGAATTAGTACGAGTTTGAAGCGCTGTAGGAATTAGTCTCACAATATGCCAAATTTAGTCACACAGTGTTGGAATTCAGGGATTTTGTAGATTTGAATTCTAAAGGCTTTTAAATGAATATGGTTTTGTGACATTTCATATGTTTGTGACATTTCATCGTTGCTGGCGTGTAGTGTGGTGTTTTGAGAGCATAGTGGCAAACCAGAGCTTTTCTAGAATCAGTTCATTTTTAATAATAATATAATAATAGCGGTTTCAGCGTTATTAGGCCGTAGGCCTGTTGCCGATTCTTAACATCGCAGAACATTCACAGCATTTTGCGGTTTCGAACTTGCAACTTACTGCTACAATTCTGCTATGCTCAACCGCCCAGCCTCCTTGCCGATTCTGACCAGAAACTGGCGCACAGAGCTGGGATCAAACCCGCACCTCTCCGCACCAATCTTGGTACTCTGAACTTTAACCACTGGGCCACCCTGCCTCAAGATTTCAACCAATTTCTAAAGTATGATAAAGCTGGTATCCATGATACTTTACTGGTCCTCTTATAGGACTCAAAAATGAACTTGAGGGAGAGTCTAAAAAACTCTCTGCTTTGCCACTATGTTTGAGAGTGACATAAAGCAATCAGAACTCGAGTTGCGCAATGCGCATACACCAGGTCTCATAGTGTGGCACGAGAGTCGTTGTAAAATTTATCTCAAGGTCATCTGGTCGTTGAACAACCGCATGCCAGTCGATAGTCGATAGGATTTATGCAGTCGATAGTCGATAGGTTTCTTCAGTAGTTCGATAACTTAACAATGAAAACACTAGTCGTTAATAATGAGATAACCTTGAGTCTATGTACATAATATTCTTTATATACAACAAACACCTAACAGATAACGCATTAATGGTTTAATTTTTCAAACCAGCGGTGCCTTCTTAGCCTCTTAGGTTTCTTTACTAACGAATTCAACAAAACCTAAAACACAGGTACATGTACCTGTGTTCAAAACCTAAAACCTGTGTCCAAAACCTAAAACACAGGTACATGTACCTGTGTTTTAGGTTTTGAACTGATGATGGAGCTGGTCTCCGAAACGTTTTCCTTTTTAAGAAATGGTGAATTTTCTGACCTGATGATGGAGCTGGATAGAGAACCGTTTTCAATATCGATATGGTGAATTTGCTTGGCGTTTTCTTTGCTTTTAAATTCCTTGTCAATTCAGATATTAATGCATTACAAAATACCTGGCAAACGCCGCATACGAACTGAGGCTCCATCATGAGAGCAGCAGCAGCTGTAGGATCTGCTGCTTGTTGCTGCTGTTGCTGCAGCTGCAGTAGTTGCTGATGGTGCAGTAGAGCACTTTGCTGCAGTACATGCGGTAGTACACATCGTTCATGGTACACACGGTAGCACTTGCTGCAACTTAGCACCTCGCCCCCGTGGTGGCACTCGAAACAATACCAGTCGTGCCGTGCCGGTTCCTCCTGAGAAATAATAATAATACAATAATAATAATATAAAAATAATATAAAAATAATATAAAAATAATATAATAACAATAATTTACCCTCGAGGCATAATGATGTTGGAGCTTATTGGATCAACCATATTTACGCTATGTTTACGCAATATACCACATATACCTACCGTATTAACGTAACTACCGCTGTATTCATTGCCACTAATGTATAAATCCATATCCATATTAATGTATCTTGCTTCAAAGAAGGTTGTAGACTTCTTCATTATTTTGACTGCATCGGAGTAATTGGAGTAACAACTACGACATTGAGCAGCCGTTTATCCTGCCACCTGAGACAAGCTAGCAACCAGACCAGGTCTCAGAGAATTACAATTGAGATACTTCTCGAGATCCGCAATCAACTCAACTGGCTCCACGACAACCTTGACAACAACGTCAAACCCCGAACAATACGCATCAACGGTCACTTCAAACGAGCGGTAGTTCTTCAAGAATCTGGTGTAATCAATAAATTTTGCTTCAAAGAAGGTTGTAGACTTCATCATTATTTTGACTGCATTGGAGTAATTGGGGTAACTACTTCGACTTTGAGCAGCCGTTTATCCTGCCACCTGAGACAAGCTCGCAACCAGACAAGGTCTCAACGGCTGAGCAGCCGTTTATCCTGCCACCTGAGACAAGCTCGCAACCAGACCAGGTCTCAAAGCATCACAATCGAGCAACTTCATCTCAAGATCCGCGATGAAATCAATTGGCCCCGTGACACTCTCGACAACGTCAATCTCAACGAGACTGTCAATATATATATATATCATGTACTTATTTCCGCCAAAATTTCAGTATTCAATGCTTCCTATAACTTGAAAATGAATGATGTCACATTCGAAACGTCGTTAATGAATTAAATTACTTCCTTGAACCTGAATTTTTATCAACCAACGTCCACTGAAGAATATTGTTCGATCCTGAAAATTTAAATCAATGATTTTTCTGGTCATTAACCACTCATATATATATATATATATATGTATGTATGCAGGCTAGTACTAATCGCTTAGTTTGAAGATCAGAACAAAGTCTATCACAGGCTCAATTTCAATGCATAGACGTTTACGGCTAGTATCTATTTGACATGGCGTGGGTAGAAATGAGGGCAACAATCGCATATATAAAAAAGTAAATCGATACATCAATATAACAGATTCGAGGTAATACAAGTCAAGCCCATTTCTCCTATCAAATCCATGTATCCTGCTGAAGGAACAACGTTGTGTTTAAAATAATCGTTGAATTATTTGCCGTATTCTGTCATGTAACTTTCGTCATATTAAATTTCTATCGAGCTAACAGTTCTGAAAGGGCCTCGAACTTCTGCGTCCATTGACGAAAGGAAGACCACACAATAGAATGGAGAAGCACATGGTAATCTTAACAAAATCAAGTTACGGCACTAACTTGATTTCAGCTTTCAGTTGTTCACACTTCACAGCAACTGACGATCTTTCTGCATCCATCTTCGGCTGCTGCAATGACAGTATTGAGTTACACATGTAGTTCTTCTCAAGCATTAAAGTTATCAACTGAACTCTAAATTCCTGGAGAGACAATCAAATAAATACCAGAATATACGATAGTTATGGAAATCCTCAAATCAAATGTGTTGCTCACAGAGGTAAGCGATAGTTCATAAGCTATCTTCTGCTTGAGCAATAAGCTCAAGCATGAAGACATATGCCCAAAGCTAAACAAGTTCTTTTGTTAAAGAAACCATTCGTTTAGCAGAAAGTTTTACCGAGGTCTGAAAATATTGCTTGCAATTGCTGAAAAATGAAGAATAGAAGCATTCATAACGTCTTATACCATTCCAATATTGCTGACTGAGCTCGATGGAAATTTCCCGAATTTATCCTCGTATAATTTGTAGTTCTTCAGAAAAAAACAAATTCATCCTTATACTTAAATGTAACTTCATGATGAAACAACGAAATAGAGTAGATAGTAACGGTACAAAAGCAACTAACTTACTTGCGAATAATCGGAATACGCTTTGCAACCTGTTCCATCGTGTTCAGCTGGCCTGCCCAGTGGTGAGACTACCGACATCCTGACCACGCAATCGACTGTTGAGTAGCATCATAGGCAACGATAAACTTTCGATTACACAAATTGATCCAGTTGACGTGTTTTTTTCGAAATTAGAACGTTAAGCATATGAACAGGAGCAGCTTAAATAACATGCTCGTGTCGACATACCCAGAGGTGAAATTTTCTACCTCTGCCAAAATCGGGGGCGCAGCCATAGGCCACAAATTTTACTCTTAAATGAGCCCTGGAGCCAACGCCTAGCTTCTCCATGCATTAACTTTACTCAGCCTCAGAACTAGACGCCACAGACTACGCTTGAACTCCGTAATCCAGACAAGCGACACACTGCCGAGAGATAATAGCGCCGTAGGTTTTCAGCCAATGCTTAAGCATGCTCGCTCATAAGCAGGCAGTTCCTCATCCGGCTGTACCTACTCCGGCCTAACCTCTTCTGGCCTAAACTAGTCACGCTGTCCTGGCTCACAATGCACTTGACATCATAGGCCGTTATGCGCTCTATCGTTCTTACCAATGTAAAGGCATATGAACAAAGTGTGAAGTTTGGCAAAGCTGGCCTCCGGCATGCGCCCCCAAAAATCTTGAACGCACAATTGCGTAGTCATGATGAATGCCGCCTGCCGACGAGAAGTATTGCAACGAACTTCACTTTAGAAAGCACTGGACAGCAAAAACTAAGGAATTTGCATTGCTGAAAATGTCAAAAACGGTAATATTCAGTTTTTAACACTGAGTTGTTTGCAAAATGTAGACTTCGCTATGCACGATAAGATTACACAATTCGGATGAGATGCGTGTAGCAACCGACATCCGAACGGGACGAAGACCAGCATACCACTGCTCATTAATGAGTCATTATAAGCGCCTCAGCGTCCGAACTCCGAACAATACCTTTCATTGTCCAGCATAGTCTCAAGTCGGGTATATATATATATAGTTGATAACCGCCACTCCTCAATAGGGAGTATAAAGAGGATTGTTTTGGTACCCCTGCCTCTGAAAAGTTGGTGTTTTGGTGAACACACGCAATACACGCATCTTGACGTACATGCAATGCACGCGTGTTCATGTACACATATCGCAAGGGAGTTCGCACAGGCGTAACGCAAGCGTGTTCACGGAAACGTATCGCAAGCGTCTTAACATGAACGCGCTGCATGCCGGTCGAAGACAACGCAACGCACGCGTGTTAGTTAAGCACGCGTAATGGTCGCGTACCGATGGACAATATTTGCACGCGTAATGAAGCTCGCGCAAACGCTGGCATGACCCTAAAATTTCGTTTCAAAATATTGTCCCAAAAATTTCGAAGCGATTTGCGTGAGCAAAAAAAAACATTCAAATCAAGAAAACGAAACGCCCACATGTTGACGTACACGCAAAGCATGAGTGCTGAAACGCACGCAACCTCTCTCTCTAGCCTCTCCATCAGTCTATTATCTCTCCTCTGCCTCAGCCTCCTCTTATTACCCGCCAATCGCACCTTTTCATTTCTCAAACACACTGCCGCACTCACTCTCTCATTCAACGCAATTTAGCTCGTCTTCATAACCAATTGTCCAGGGGTTGTGAACCCCCTTCTCACATACTCCACATACTTCTTTCGACGTCTCAGTCATCACCTCCGCAAGCACCTTTCATTTATTCCCTTCATTTATTCTCTCATTGTCTCAGTCACCCTCTCATTTGTTTACACTTTTTATTCTTCCCTCTTCTCACGTTCCTTCAACACCTTCCACTTTATCCTAGGCACCCTCTTCGCATTCCCTTCTGGCACTCGCCATCTTCTCCCCTTCACTCTCACAGTCATAACTATCGGCTTGGTCCGATAACCCGTATTCCCCATCCGTCCTCATCTATTTTACCATCCATCTCCCATTAAACTACGTACCTCTCCTTTTATACCTCATGTAGCTATTCACTTGCTCCAACTCATGTTCCCCTCACCAATCAATCAGATCCCTTCCTGCCTCATTCATATTCCCAATGCCATACCTTCCACACACACCTTCCCTTTCATTCCCTCTGCCAACATTCAAATTAATATCTCCCCCTATAATCAATTTCTCATTTCCGCCACACGCAACTTGATTCTCAGCCGCTCTTCTGTACCTCTTCATACCGTCATCATTCGTTCCCAACACACAGGCTGATACACTGCTACCAAACGCAACCTTCCCAACACCAGAGCAGTCACTCTCTCATCAAACCATCTCTTCTGTCCATCTCTCACCCACACCTTTAATGCCTCACCTCTAAATACCATAGCCGACTTCTTCGCATGTACCACCACCACTCTTTCCTCTTCCACTTCTTCCTCCATTGTTGTGGTTCCACCACTCTTTCCTCTTCCAATCACAACATCATCCGCACTTATCCCACTCAACAAAACAATCTCCAACCGTTTCATCACAATCTTCTCTACCACTCTCCTCAATCGCCTCCTATTATGCTCTCTCAATGACAATCTCTGCACATTCCACGTCACAATCACTCTATCACTCCTTCGTTTCCCATTTACACCTCCATTCACAACTTCGGCCTCGCTTTATCGATCACTCCTTCTCCTCTTCCGACCCTCGTGGCGCCTTCCCCTTCTCTGTGCTCTTTGCCTCTCTCCTACTCCCCTCCGTAATCTCCAGTTCCTCGGCCCGGGATGCGGGTGAATAGACCGGAGTCCAATCACCCGGAGGACCGCTGCCAGCCTGTTCAAACGGCTCGCCACCGTCCGGCAGGCACTGATGCGGTTCCCCGAGGGGCTCACGCCTTGGAAGTCATTAAAGAAGAATCCGGGGCGGCTAGGCCCGTCTTTCTCTTTTGTAAGCGGAGGGATGTTGGGCATTTCCCCTTGCACCCGCTGTTGAACCTTTGTCGCTCCAGCGGTCACCAGCTGTTGACCCCAGGGCGACTCTTGCGCCACAGGAGGTGAACCACCGAGCAAGGGAATCTCACCATTCTATTGGTGAGATTCCATTTCCGGGCCGTCGATCCCCGTCAGGGACTTGCCCCCCCCCTAGGGTCCCACACCAGGCACGCCCTCTGGTGCCTCGCCATATTTGCGACCGACAGCACCCTGTTGCACCCCGGGCACTGAGCGACCCTCCCCCTCCTGGCTCTCACCGGCTCCTCCCCCCCTCCCTCCACAACCACGTCATCATTCGTTCCCCACACAGGCTGATACACTGACACCAGACGCAAACCTCCCAATACCACAGCAGTCACTCTCTCCTCAAACCATCTCTTCTGTCCATCTCTCACCCACACCTCTAAAGCCTCACCCCTAAACACCACAGCCGACTTCTTCCCATGTACCACCACTACTCTTTCCTCATCCTCTCCCAGCCACAGCACACCCTCATCATCCGCACTTATTTCACTCAACAAAACAATCTCCCACCCTTTCCTCACAATCTTCTCTATCACTCTCCTCAAACGCCTCCTATTATGCTCTCTCATAGACAATCTCTGCACATTCCACGTCACAATCACTCTCTCCCTCCTTTGCCTCCCCTCCACAACCTCATCCTCTCCCCCTCGATCTCTCCAGCGCTCCCACGCACCCCTTAACCTTTGTCGCTCCAGCGGTCACCAGCTGTTGACCCCGGGGCGAGTCCCTCTTGCGCCACAGGTGGTGAACCACCGAGCAAGGGAATCTCACCATCATAATCACCATAATCAGCATCATCACAAATATCCCCACCATCATTTCGTCAACCTAAAATATACACCAGAAAATTAAAAAACGTTAATTAAATAGGAAATATGCGAAACCCTAGTGTATCGATAGTATTTAAGATAATTTTCTTCAAACTTTGTTTGAATATGTAATTACTAACAATAAAATCAACTGTCTCCCACACTCCCCCACATCAACTGCCTCCCACACTCATCTACACAAGCCCTCCAAATTCATGACCGGTTCCCGCCTCCCCTCCGCGGCCTCAATCCAACCTCACACACATACAACCAACCTAATTATGCACCTATCTTGGTCTCCTACTGTCTTTCCAGCTTTTCCTTCACCTTTCTAGCCACTCTGTGCCTCCCATTTCCTTTTTTTTTCCTATTATTCCCCAAGGGCACCATGAACATTATACCCAGCAGGCATTCGCTGTTTGAATCGACATTGAAACAACTAACCATTACGACGCTTAGATCAGGGTGAAAATAGGTTTAGAATGAAAATTTAAGCAACGTCTTTCATGAAACGTCGTACTGACGTTACAATGCAACGTCGAATCAATGTTGCTACTACGACGTTGCTGCAACGTTAAATTCACTGGTTGAATCGACGTTAAAATAACTACCCATTACGACGTTGAGATCGGGGTGAAAAGATGTTTAGAATGAAAATTGAAGCAACGTTTCATGAAACCTCGTCCTGGTGTTACAATGCAACATTGAAGCAATGATGCTACAATATATGACGTTGCTGCAACGTCAAATTCGCTTGTTGAATAAACGTGGAAGAATCAACATTTTTTCAACCGCAGCAGGATTCGAACCCAGGATCACTGGGCTGGCGTGCTGCGGAATCGGTGGAACTGGTGCCATCGAGCGCACGCACCCGTTATTTTTACTCGATTTCTTACCAAGCTGAGGAACTTTTAACTTATGAATTCTCTGGTCATTAATCGTCCACTTATATATATGTATGTCATTCAATGTTAGTGCGATAACTGTAGTTCCATGCTGGTCAACAGCTAAACATTCAGCGTACCGATATTGACCAGTTTTCAACGTTGAAATGAGGTTATTTTATGTCTCTTCTAGGACGGGTCAGATTTCAGCGTTGATTTGACATTTAATTTTGATTGTTTGGCATTTCAACCTGTAATTAACATTGATTCAACGTTTAAAAATGAAACAACATTAAACGTACCAATATCGACGTTATTTCAACGTTGATATAAGGTTGTTTTGCGACCCTTCTAGTTTTGGTTATATCTCGACGTTTATTGGACGTTTAAAGGGAAGCGTCTATGTGGTGAAAAAACTTTTTCATTTACGGACGGATCACTTTGAAACTTGGTACACCTATGTAAAACCGAATTCTAAGACTTTTTTGTTCGTGTCAATTTTTCAAAGAAAAAAATGAAAGAAAACGTGAATTTCTTAGAAAACGGCATAAAAGGGGGTACAATAGAAATCTATCTCCTCCTAGTATTTTGGAGCTACAACATCGAGACGCATATCATTCGATGCGTAGGACCATATTTATCGATTCTTCGTAGCTTTTTTTTGAAATTCGAATTTTTGCAGGTGTGGGGGCATTTTTCGTAAAATTTTCGAAAATTTTTCGATTTCCCCCTTTTTTCAAAATATTTTCAAAACTATAACGAAATTGAAAAGAAGCTATGACCAATCTCTAGATCTTTCATTTGCGAATCGAATGGTATATCTCTCATTGCTGCAGCGTCAAAGCTGTAGGAGGAGATTTCCAGTGACAATAAGTGTGATTGTCCAGTAGAGCCCGACAAAGTCCCGGGCGCCTCGAAATCGGCATTCAAGGTTGCAAGGCTGCAAGACCAGATAATACTGGAGCTAAATCTCTGTCAAGGATGGTGGGAACGACAGAGCGCAAACCATCCCTCACGACTGTTGAAGGGTTACTGGATCGGGGAGTGTGAAGACTAGCTATTTAAGGTGCACTGAGGCATTTACTCTCTATGTTAAATGTTAAAGAACTCTACCAACCCTTGCCCTTTCGCGATCTGTCGTGAACGCATAAATCAACGTACAGAGATAATTTTGGTACCGTTGGATAGGTCAGAATGTCAGATTTAAGATGAAACAAAAAACTGATAAGTCAAAATTGTCGATTTTGGACATAGACGCTCCCCTTAAGTTTGTTTATTCAGCATTCCAACCTAAAATCAACATTGATTTAACGTTTAAAAAAATTAATAGCATTTAACGTTTCAATATCTCTGTTATTTCAACGTTGAAATAAGGTTGTTATACATCCGTTCTAGTTTTGGTCATATTTCAATTTGATTATACGTTTAATTTGGGTTGTTCTGCATTTCAAACTGCAATCAACATTGATTCAACGTTTAATAAAATGATTAAACATTCAACGTACAAATATCGACGTTATTTCAACGTTTAAATAAGGTTATTTTACGTCCCTTCTAGTGTTTAAAGCCGGGCGTTTAAGCAAAGAAATTTTGAGGCAGTGATGTTGCGAGTTCAAGCCCGCAGCATGCTGTGGGTGTTCTGCAATGTTAAGAATCGGCGACAGGCCTACGGCCTTATATACGCTGAAACTGCTATATCATGACTAGTTTTCTGTCCCTGAACTTGAACTTACTGCACAGTTTGTGCTCGATGGTGGCGTCAAGAGCAACTTGTTCGCGACGTGCGGGCGAGAGCGGTTGTGGCAGTGCCCTCTGGACAAGAGGTAACTGGAGCCTCCGCCGTTTCTTATGTAGTCTAAACGGGGGTTCTTAAACGCACGAGTTGATTGGGTGAAGCTGAACAGCAGCGGCACATCGACGGACATCATCGCCTGCGCGAACGCCGCGTTTGCGAGGAGTGAGTTGAAGTGACCCAGGGCACAATTACTGCGGATAAGATTAGGCTTATTTCACATTTGATTGTAGTGAAGTGCATTCAAATTTGTTTATTGACAAAATTTTGTTCAAAATATTTTCAATGAATGTTACTTTCATTCATAAATAATACTTAAGTTACATATTTTATTCAAATAAGCTATGAAATGAGTGCTCTCAAAGTTGTAATTAAGTCTGCTTGATTTGTCAGTGATTATCATATACCTCAGACGCATGTATGTTTGATTAATATAAATTCGTTTCAAGAATGTGTGATTCATCTAAGATTGGTTCATTAATGCCTGTTTTGTACACGCCTGATTCATCTGAGTTTTTGATGCATGATGTTTAATTGGACTTTGTTCAACATATGAGTTTGGTTGAATGAAATTTCGTTTATTTAAAGTGCGCTTTAACGAAATATTCTTAATACAGTGTGCATGAGATCCGAATAAATTCGGTTTATCTGAATTTTATTCAATAAGTTCTTTTATGTGTGACTAATGCATGTTTTATTCATGCATGTTGTGTTTATGGAGAATTGATTCATGTATGCTGTATGCATGAAAGTTTTCATTCAGTGTGTTTTTAATTATATTTATTGTGTCTTAATTAAGTATCTTTAATCCGTGTATGTTCAATACAGTATACATATATTTGATCCGTGAAATTTGGATTCATGTAATTTGCTACGGAAGTTTAAGCTTATTTGATCGTAGTGAATTATATTAAAACATGATTGTTTCTGAAATAATGATTATTATTATTGAAATTAATTAATTATTCATGTCTATTATCATTTTCATTAATTTACTGAACTATATTTTTATGAATGCTAATTTTATTCTTGAATGCCACTGTGGTACATATTTAATTCAGCTAAGTTGTAATTTGAGTGCCTCTAAGCTACATCCGATTGCTTAGTAAATGATTACCATATGCTTTAGACGCATATAAGTGTGATTCACATATATTTGAATCAATTATACATTTTTGATTCTTCTAAAATTAGTACTACATTGAAGTTTTGTTCATGATAGTTTGATTCATGTAAGTTTCATAAGCGATGTTTGACTCAACTATGTGAGATTTTGAGAGTTTGATTCATGTAAATTAGATGGAATTTTGATTATTGAATGTATGATTTGTCGAAATAGGTTTTATTCAGTATGCTTTATTTGATTAAATCGATAGATGAAAATGCATTTAAAAAAGTTTTTTGTGACGCTTTTAACTTTGCACGTTTGATTCATGTACGTTTGATTTATGTGTGTTGAATTCAAGTACGTTTGATTCATGCATGTTTGACTCTTAAATGTTGGATTCTTCCATGTTATTTTCGGGCATGTTCGATTCATTTATGTTTTATTTGTTTAAGTTTTATTTACGTATGTATGATTCGTGTGAGTTTGATTCATGGACTTTGATTTGTGCAAGTTTTTCTACTAAAGTTTATTCTATTTCAGTAAAAAGGATATAATTTTAATTCATGTTTGTTAGATTTCCGTGTAGGGAAATAATAACAATTTCTTCGTGTAAGTTTGATTCATGCAAGTTTAACTCACGTAATCCTTCCTCCTCAGACGCTCTCATGTTCAAGATCAACGGCTCCTGCTACGCCAGCGGCAGGATTGTGTACGACGTCGAGAACGACGAGCAGGACTGCGGTGACGCGCCTGCTGAAGTTGTCTACGTCATGACACCTCGTATGTTGTCTACGTCATGACGCCTCTCAAATTCTACGTCATTTTTCATCGTAAATTTAGTGTCCTCGTAATTTTCTACTTCATGGCTTTGGTGCAGTTATTTAAGTTGAAACTAATTTCTGTATTATTCAACAAATCTTTATTCTTCGTCGGTGGATCTTGTGCGGATTAGTTAACACCTTGTCTTCTCTGGGCATGGCGTTTGATTAACTTATATCAGTAGTTCTTACCTTCTGGTCCATCGGAGTCGCAAGTGGATTTGGGGTAAATGTCCGATGTGAAGAACAAAAGGTATATATCATATGCCTAATATTGGCAACATTCATGAGACAGCTCATTTAACTTTATCGACGTTCAGAAAATGGAACGCCTGGAGGGGTTCTATATGATGACTGCAAGTTGTTCTATGATATAGGTGGGCTCTATATAATATATCAAAGCTAGGGGGTTCTATATGATGACTGTAGATTGATCCAGCCGTTTTGCCGTTGTGAAGTTTGGGCGCAAAAATAAAAAATTGCGTCGGGCCCTTATCTTGATTTTTGAAGGCTTTATTCTTTAACTACATTGCAAAACCATACTTTAGGGGTTTGGAACGTGATATTGCAGCGTTTGGAACGTGTTCTGATTTGGGGGATTAGAACGTGTTCTGATTTGGAGGGATTGGAACATGTTCTGATTTGGGGGGTTTGGAACATGTTCTGATTTGTGGGGTTTGGTACGTGTTCTGGGACCATACTTTCAAAACTCGCTAAGTGAACGTAAGTACTTACGCTCTATTTTCTTGTCTATGATTGGTGGATTTTGCTTGGAAGACCGTCAATGATTGGCTGATGAACTTACGATCTCTTAACTTTTTTAAAAGTATATGCCCTGATTTGGAGGATTTGACGCGATAATTCTGCAATTAATAGAAAAATTCTCCTAATGGCAATAAAAACAATCATCTAACGGTGTTGAACTTGGAATTCTGGGACATTGAAGTTAGAGTGAATCCAAAGTAAAGTCGGGGTGAATTCTACGAATTGTGGTTGAATGATCAGCTGCCTCCTATGAGAGGCAAACGACTAATTTTATGTTTGCTGATAAAACCACAGGAGCTGCTGATTATTTTTGCTTCACGATCTTTTGCCGTCTGGCGCTCCAACTGAACAACATTTTTCAGTATATTTAACTGGAAATATCGGAAGTCAGCAACCGACCACTGAACCTGTAGTGATGTTCAATTTAAAATTATTAGAAACCAAGTAACTAACAAGATGATTATAAATAGGTATTTAAACAATTCTAAAAGTCTTCACTCGTCTTGTTTAATGCTCAAGACGGTTGTTTATATCCGTATACTTATAAAAAATTGCGACGAAATGCATGGCCTCTAATTTCAGCTCCACGGCACCTGTTCCAGAACAACGGATTGAATTATTTACGTTTACAGTTCCTGGACAACTGATCGGAGACACCTTCCTTTTCTACAACGAGTCCTCGGCTGACGGGTGCCTCCTCAGCAACAGCGACAACACAGGTCACGTCTTCGATGGTTAGTGAGCTGACTGCAGAGAGATAACACTATTTTAGATTTAATGTGCTCGCGGATGAGATTTAATTTAGGTCAAGCTGGGGCCCCTGAGCGGCTACTTATGTGGTGCTGTTCAATGCTGCCTTCTTACGCCTTCCGGATCAGCCAGCTCTGCAAAGTAAGCGCGTGTCACTAAGAAAATGTGACTTATTCTTTTCCGTGCCTCCGTGAAAAAAAATCTTTTAAACATAGAAATGCACGAAAACCATTTACCCGTAATTTCGTTCCCTTTCCCTCACCTCAGAACCCGACAGGCTTGTCCAATTCAAGAAAATTGGCGTAAGGATACCGACTGATCGACTCAAAAATTTGTATACGACTTCTACCGAACTTGATGCCCCACTGATATGATTCATGGACGCAGCCACCTGATTTTGACGCGACTGCAATTGACCAGCTCCCTCAAAAACTGCAGATGCATTTCATAAAATCAACCTCACTTTTATCTTATACCACCGACCTTATCGGTGCGGGACCTTTTTGTACGACAGCTTGACAGAGACACAGGAAGCCACACCACCGACGAAATCAAACACATATTAAATATACAATAAAATTGGCTACACATGCAGGACATAATAAAACACAAGCACCTTACTCGAATCAACAAGATCGTAACCACGGACACTACAATAACCCCAAACATTCTTACAAACGTATTTTGAATATCAAACACAAAAAAACGCCCTCAAAATGCGAACAGGAACAGTAAACACACCTACTTATCAATTAAAAATGTTACAAAATAGAAGACCACCTTCACACCAATCCACATACCTCACTTCCTCGATCCTGCTCCGAATGCGCCGCCTTAGATCGCACTTAGACCCAATGTACTAACACCTTCAAAAATGCCACAATGACTAGCGTACTTGAGCCGCAACCTGTACTTACCGTAAACAAAAAAAATGCGAAACCGACTGAAATCACAGTGACAAAAAATTAAAACAAAATACACCCAAAAATACAAAATCTGACACAGCAACACAGGCGATCCAACAAACAAATATTTCTCAACATAGCCTGACGCTGCGTGACAAGACGCAACTGAAACTGACAGCGATCAGACTCGAAGCCCATGTTGCCATGCAGCCTCTCCCGCCAGGAGGGGTGTGGTAGCATCGTATTGAAGTCACTGAATTTAAACTACGACATTGACGCGGCTTTTCCTGATTGAGACAACGCTTAAAGCATTTTAACCAAACTGAGATCAAGACCTCCGGCACAGACTTTAACTCTACGACCGAATTCATTGATAATGACGACCTCAGACGATCATCATTAAATATATCTCAACAGCCAATAGACGACGACCTCCGTAAGAACGACTCATTATGAATACTCCAGAAAAAGTAAAATCATCGAACAGTAAAAGGAATCAACAAGACCCGGACTCGACAAACCAATCCCCATCAAACTGTTTTGGAGTTCAAAAGGCCCCGTTGAAATCCCTCTGAAGTCAAATAAGGTTTGGCTTGCAAACGAACAGAGAAATAAGGAATATGGACTGGAGTTTTCGATGAAGGACGCAGACTCTTCAAGAGTACTCGACCGTCTGAACGTGACAGGCTGACGATACATCATCCATTACTAAACAGGATCCCCAAATCCTCATTTAAGATACTACAACACAACATCCGTCACTTGATAAAAAACAGATCCACTCCTGCCAACAAATATAACCCCATTGTCCCAGCCAGTACACATTAATCACCACTCTATCATGGATGACAACCCCACACTTAAAATATTTAACTACAATGTGCATACGAGTAGCTGCATTAATGACAACACACTAGTACACTCCGGTGATGCCATAGCCATTAGGAGACTCATACCTTACAAACCTCAAAAAAATTCACATTGACATGCTCGCAATTACAATCGACACTCCGATCACTACAGGAGCAACACACACCTCACCACATACAGTCCACATCAACTATACAAACTTCCACGTACTCTTTATAACAGGCCCCATCTCGTTTACCTATACTTGCAGACAGAAACGCAAAAACCAACAACACTAGGAAACAGCTCCTCCAACCATATAGAAAAACAATTACACACACAAATGTACCCCCATCGGCCCCTACTTTCCAGCTCTCGATCATCACCCACAACAGCAGGTCATCACCAGACAGTCATAAGCAACAGAAGGCATTCAAGAACATTCACATACAACCAGAATCCATTCCACAACCTACAGAATGTATTCCTATTATAGCTCCCTCTTTCAGATCCCCACAACCAGACCGTTCATTAGCATTTCAGCGTTCATTCGGCCGTAGGCCAGTCGCAGATTCTTAACATTGTAGAATATTCACAGCTTGTTGCGGTCTCGAACACGCAATTCACTGCTCCTATTCTGCTGTGCTTAACCACCCGGCCTCCTCGCCGATTCTGATCAAAAACTGTGGCGCCGAGCTATAGGATAGAACCCGCACCTCTCTGTTGCAGACCTGATACTCTGAACTGTAGCCACTGCCACCCTGCTGAGACACATGCTTAAACAACTGGACCTGTATCCTACCATATCAACCCCAAATCATTCCAGGCATCATACCCATTCACGAAACGTTGCTTATGCAAACACAATAGCAAGCCACTCTTCAATGCATCCATCACTGGCACTTAACAGACATCCCATGCCAACAACTATGCATTTTATAAAGACTCCTCTAAACACAGACATGGCAGAACCTCATTAGCGTTTTATAAACACAAACAGATCACAAAAATTCTGGTCTTTCCCAAGGCATATGCTAGGATCCAACACCAAACAAAGCGTCCCATACAACAAACAAAAATTAGTCAATACGACACACCAGAAAAAAAAATCAGTTTCCACCAACAATGTTAGGACATATTCACTCAGAACGACAACGATCGAGACTTTGACATCGATCACATTTACACCGTAAAAGGCCCTCTATAACAACATTTAACTTTAGCGACCTTACCCGATTCCACCTTGTATACTTTCCACCCATAACCAATGGAGAACTACGGCGCACACTGAAAATATTTCAACATAAAGCATTTGGTTCCACAGGCATCAAAATCCTCCAACTCAAACAGCTATTCAAAATAGCGATCCACTATATGCTGTACAAAGTGTACATATTCAATCACTTCACCTCCGTTGGTTATTTCCCCCGACTCACAATAGCGTGTCATAATGATCTTCCTCTCGAAACCCGCCACATTTCATCACCAGGTACAAAACTACAACTTGATGTCATGTTATGACATCCGCGGAAAACTCTAATATAAAATACTAACAATAGATTTATGAGGACCTCACCATCCACAACACTAAACAGTTCGGTTTCAAGGAACACCAAAAGGACTCAAGAGGCATTAGCCACATTCCACCAAACGCTCGTTATACACCTTGCACGACACACTGCAGACATGCTGTATAGTGTATATAATCTCCCCGCGCTATGACCAAGTCTCCGATAAGGTTTGGCCCACCAGACTTCAATACAAAATTATACTTTACAAGTAAACCTACGCCCGACCATTACAAAAACACTTGCAGACTAGAGTTTTGCAACGCTAGAAATTTCTAGCGTTGCAGAACTCTTCCTCTTCTACTTGATAATGAATAAAGTTGCATTCGAAACGTCGAAAAAAATTAAAATTATAATAAAATGTCCCTTGGCAACCTGATATTTGACTTTTCAATTCCTATCAAGAGCTTAATTTGCCGAATAGAGAAAAACAATAAGAAAATTGTCAGTAAGAAATACTCTCTGGACTTCAAAGAAACCTGCATTAAATATATATGTATATGTATGTATTTTATATACTAATTTATCTGTTGACCAGTGATATCAATGGGAATAATCATTTGCGTATTTTTGCTTGCTAGCGGATTTCTGAGGAAGTCGATCGGTTGGTATTTAGAAAAATAATCTAAAATGGTGCGAAAAAATTCACTTATCCCACCCGCTTTGGGAACGTAACACCCGCGATAAATGAAGGATTACTTTACCTTATTTTCAGACTCTGAGAATACCCCGTACGACAGTGGACTGATGCCTCAAAAGCTGACTTGCTGCAATGAAATAATAGCTGGACATTGCGTCGAGATTGCGTCACGTCCTGCGTCCACATACTTCTCGTACTGCGAGGCCAAGACTCGGTGCGAGGCCCTGGGCTTGCAGCTGGCGTCCTACGAGTTGGAGACCAACCCCGGCATTCAGACATACGCCCATGAAAAACTGGGCCCAATTGCTGGTGAGTTTTGGTCTACCTAACAGGACTTGGGCAGCACAGTGTGTATTGTTAAAAATTTTCATATCTGTCAGCCTATCACTGACGGCTTTTCAAGCTCAAAACCTAACAAACCTTCTAAACATGAACGAAAAATCGGCCTCATCGTGTACTTAGAAGGCTAAGAGAACTTTGAGTTTAATAAGTACGGCCCTTAATTGTACTTGAAGGCTGAACTTAATTCCACGTGCTAATTGATTTTGCACCTCCAGTAAAATATCTAGCACTTGTTACACGGATTGTCACCGACCAACAAAATTGAGCGACCTTTTTGGACGTTAGTTCATCTATTCAATTACCGACTTGAAATTAAAAATATCAAGTATGGGGTCTCATATTGATCGGCGAGTTCAAAGGGACGCTTGCTCTGGAAAAATCGTAGCGGCTGCAATAATTATTTGTTACTCACTGTTAAAAATTTTTTGATGGAGCTGCCACTTCTACTATACTAATACGATGTTTTTGAAAGAGAACGAAGAATTGTTTCAAAACATCGCTGATGCAGGAAAAATCTGTCTTCTCACCTCAGCATTCGCTAATATTCAGATGATAGATGACGATTAGGCTGAAAAATATTTCACAGTCTACTCGATAAGGAGCTACTTATTAGCATAACTTCATGGTGCCTCATAACGAGGACTTCCTACAAGTCGCCTACATGTGTTGGTGGAGAGTATCTGGTGATCGAGTAAACACAACAAGTTCTCGATGATGTTGAGACTAGGAAAATGAAGGTTGTCGTTCCACATGTTCCAGTGTCATTTAATCATTTTCATACAATTGTTACAGTTAAGTTTCCTGAAGATGGCAGGTTAACGGTTTTAGTAGAAAATGGAGTGCATAAATACTTATTTAATTCTGCACCCATCCAGGTGGCTCGCTGTCCTTAAATATGGGGATCAGAAATCTTGGAATTTCGACCAAGTTGTTGCGATTGTTAGAGATCTTTGCTTTCAATGGTAAAAGATATTGCAGGGTGGCAGCAACACGGCTACTATTTCACGAGATCGAATGTAGGTGGGAGTGAAGCTCTTCCACTGACCGGCGTGCATTTATTTCAACTATGAAGTTTTATACAGCTTAGATAACTAGTTATTCAAGTGAGAATTATTTATGACGAAAAAATTCTCAGAATTCTGTGCCCTATTGTAATCGGTTCATGGCATACAATTGTGTAATGTTGCAAAATTTCATTCCGTGTTAGATTGATTGCTTTTCATGTGAACCTATCTTTAAACATGCGTTTTGGGTCCTTCTTAAACATTGTGCATTGTGAGTTGTTTGAATAGGTTTTTGTGGAAATACCAACTTAATAATGTATAAACTATCATGCGTATTAATAGTTAATATTGTCCACTATAGTTATTTTGTACGTGTGTGATGTTTCTTGATTGAATTTGAAGATTTCAATATTCTTTAATCCCACTCACTTATGCATTGCCTCCACACCATCCTGCTCACAAATGCGCATCCCACGAGTACACATGCACGTAGTGCATCAATACACATAAAAATGCCTCAATCGCCACCAAGATCACCGAACACTTGCCGCCAACTGCCCATTCACGAAAAAACCATCATTACCAAACAAAAAATAGCAATAGACGAAGTAACGAAGAAAGCAAAATAAAAATATGTTCAAATAGCCAAACATGCAATTCACCAGATCAACATTTCCAACACAGCCTCACTCTGACCAATACAACTAAACTCAAACTGACTGCAATAATACTGGAAACTTACATCACCAGCTTAGCACGACAGGAAGGATTCGGATCAATTCTCTCGAAATCAATGAAAGAAAACTACGACATCGATGCTACCCTCCCCGACCAACTTATTAAACTTTTTCGATAACCATGACGAAAACAAATCAGGCTGGAACATTAACAACTTCGACCGTAGAACCAAATATACAGACGACGACAACATGAGACAGTCCACGCTAAACCTAACAGGACCACAGACGGACTACGAATCCCCCGGCACTTTCCAATAACCAAAATCTATCAAAATGACCGCAACCAGAGAAAACTGAAAATAAGTGATGAGAAGTACAAGGAATCGCCTCTATTAATGCCAGGACTCGACGGAATAATATCCGTTAGACTATTTAGGAGCGACAATGACCCCAACCCAATCCTTGAAGTCCCTCACAGCACGTGGTATCTTAACGAACTGAGGGCAAAGAACCTTGGACTGAAGCCCTCGGTGAAGGACCAGGGGCCGTTTTATCAAAACTTCGTAACTTTTTGTACTTCCTACTAAAAAGTTAAGTGTTACGTAAGTACACCCTAATTTTGGCATTATCAAAACATTCGTACGTAAGACTTGGCTAAAAGCGTACTATCAAAACCATCTGGCCAACTGACCAATCAGTGGCTTTGGATTTGTTTACATTCTGTGAACTTCGATGGCGGGAATCTATGCATTCGATGGTATCGACTATCGAATGCTGTCTGTCGGTATTGCTCCTTGTTGGCCCAGAAAAAGCCGTTCTAAAATAGTTGCTTGTATAATATAACGTGAAAGGAAAATAAAATCAGTTTCTGGTATTAACTCAATTGAATTTTTTTTCAATAGCACTGTTTAGCACGATCACATATTTTGATCGTGCAAATGTTGCACGATCAAGTAGTGGAGCCATCACAAGTATAGCCATCATTCTATGCGTGTAAAATCCGCGCTGTCGGATTATTGACAGAATTCTATCACAAGTCAAGGTGTTGCTACTTGCTAGTAAATCAATAGTTTCCTATCGCTTTAGCATACACTCTAAACTTGTGCGGAACTCCACTTACGACATCTTCGAGCAGGCGTACAGTTACGTTACGCATCTTCCCGCGCAAATGTTTTGATAATACCACCTCTAGAGTTACTTCATCAAGTCAGCACTTACGCCACTCGTAAGTCGATTTTGCGTACTTACGAAGTTTTGATAATACGGCCCCTTAACGCCTCCAAAATAATCGACTATTTTCGACGCGAAAACTAAAATTCAACAAACCTATAATCAACGTCATTCCTCACGACATCTTCTTAACCATGGACAGACTCTCAACCATGACTACTAAATAGACGAAACAATCTACATCTAAACTCCATCCCTCACAATAATCCTTCAAACCAAACTAAAAATTCTACAACATAACTTTCGACACTGGCATAACAAAATATTTCTATTGGTAAACTTTTATACCAACCCTGATCCCGACATAACACTAATCAACGATCACTTCTTTACTGACAATAATACGATATTCAATTACAGCGTCCACAGCTGTCACATAAACAATACAATCCACGCCGGCGGAGCAATAGTAATAAAATAGTATACCATAATAGCAATAGAATAGTTTCGGCTAAGCTAAGCAATGGTAATATCCTCTTTCTTACTTCACGACAACTTCCACTTGGACATGCTCGCCATCACAGTTAACACTCAACAATGACCCATCACAATAAGAACAATATACAGTACATCACACACTCCGATCACACCTAAACTGCAAACCCATACCCATTTGCCCACGTGGATTCTTTCAAAGAGTAAACTGCACCTTATACAAGCAAACCCTATTACAGCATGCAGACTCGCACAATCCAATCCCCCACTAGCAGAAATAGACAAGCACTTGGAAAATTTATAAAATACAGACAGAATGCCACTTAAACTTCCATTCTCATCATATCACTTCTCATCATTCCTGGTATCAAGCCCACTCATACAAGCACTCTTCCGGAACTTCACACCTACGTCACATTAATTAATAGCACTAAACGGACAACTCATCACACCACGCCAACAATTACACACTGCATACAGACACCTCAGAGCACAAAGATATAGCAAGACCTCATTAACACAAAACAAACCGTCCCATGCCTACAACACAAGAATATACAGCAGGACACTAGAACAAAAAGAACCCATTTTCCGCAAGCACTGGCAAGACATTGCCACAGAGAACGACATCGGCAACGGAGACTTTGACATCGAACACATCCACATTATACAACACCACGTAAACAATGCACACATCATTCTTTCATACAGTCGCGGCAACCTTACCGCCTTCACCGTGTAGACTTCCCACCTGTTACCATTAAAAAACTTCAGTAAACTGTAGAAAATTAAAAAAAAAAACACTCAAACATCTCCCAAAACATGATGTATTTCCCCCTGCTATCTATATGCATTATACAACTAGTCAAAACTGCCGGCTATTTTTCGGGCTCGCTCAAACACGCCACAATGTTTTTCCTCCCAAAACCTAACACCTCACAACATTAAGTCCAAAACTACAAACCAATCTCACTATTAGATATACACGGGAAGTTCCTGGCTAAAATGTCAAACAACCGATAATACGACTATCTCAACATCAGCAACACACAAAAAACTAGACAACACTAATTTAGGAAACACATTTATTTATTTATTTTAGTGGCCAAATGTTTACTAGCGCTTCAGCTATTTAGCTATCTCGCACCGAAAGTCAAGATGAACATCACCATAGAGGTGGAAGGTCTCAATTATTCATCACCCACAAGGGGCGGAAGGTCTCAGATGTTCAGCCCGCTGAAGCTGGCTCGAAAGAAGCAGCGTTAGCATCTCAAATACTGTCTCTTATACACATCTAGATGTGTATAAGAGACAGGAACGGTGGGGCGCTCAGGAACAATCCCCTTAGGAACGCAAAATCCCATAGGACTTCTGACGAGCACAGACACCCGTCAGAAGTCCCCCCTGAGGGGTTAGGAAACACAGAGGGATCCACACAGCATTAGCAACTCCCCGCGATACACTCGCCAAACAGGAATCAACACCATAGGCCACATCTAAAAACTAAAAAACTGCGTTGTAACACATCCATGCGACAACATTTCTTCTCGCTGCGAGTCACCTACATGTGGAACAGCCTCGCTGATAGCATCGTTGACGCTCCGAGTATGAACGCCTCCAAGAACATACTAGACGAAGCTATGAAGGAGCATATGTTCAGTCTTAAAATGCCTAGCACTTTACGGACCACAGGTAATAAGTTCAGCAGCTATCTCAATCAATCCTCAGTTATGGAAAGGTCGGTTTCCAAAGGATGGATCCCTTGTGAATAAAGTCACGAAAAGTACAAGATTGCAACAATCGGCTACGGGCCATGGGCCTATTTCTTCAGTGCCGACACTTTTAATTGTAATCTATTCTACATCTTACACAAAGTCACCGTACATATATAATGCATCCGGGATGTGACCATGCATGGCCTTCGACAAGATCTGACTCACCGGACTCCAAAAAAAATTAATTCAACTCAATCTCCACTCATCACTTACAAAATCATTAGCAGGCTACCTCACCAACAGAACAGCATCCATCATTACAGGTAATCACATTGGTTCCTCTTTACAACTACACTCACGTGTCCCATAAGAGGCTTGTCTTTCACCCACCAATTACAGCTTTTACATCCACGACATCCCACCGCCACTCCCAAAAAGGATTATATAGCATATGCAGACGACATTACACAGATAGGTAACAGCCGGACGAACCTACACAAATCCGCGGCAAAACAGGCACAAAACGCCATGCAATAGATAAATAAATTCGAAAATAAATGGATCATCAGGACAAACAGAACCAATTTTAAAGTCATCGCTATCGCTGGGTGCAAAATAATTAACTATTCATCGACAACCATACACTAAAAAATGAAGTGTCTGAGGACTGCACTTCACATCACACTGTTTTAGAACCCAAATAAGAGCCAGGAAAGCAATAGCCCCTACCAATCTGCGCAAAAGATTCTACCACCTGTCACCCAACATAGAACGTACCTTATGCCTCACCTTCGTAAGATCGTCTCAACGCGTAATAGAACAGGTATCCATATTACGGCTTAATGACCGACGAAACACAACGAGAATGACTCATGGTAATGACGAGACTAAATGCATTCTATCAACATAATTGCTGCTTAACCAAAATACCTCTTGGGTATCGAGTGACTCGCCTACCTCAGTAACCACCCTCATCATCACATTCCCATGCATTCATTGTATCATACCTTTTGAAAAATATAATAAAACATTAAAATACTTCTAAGGGGAACGTCTGGGTGGTGAAAAAAACTTTTTATTTACGGACGGATCACTTTGAAACTTGGTACACCTATGTAAAACAGAATTCTAAGACTTTATTTTTCGTGTCAATTTTTCGAAAAAATGAAAAAAAAACGGGAAATTCTTAGAAAACGGCAAAAAGGGGGTACAATAGAAATCTATCTCTTCCTAGGATTTTGAAGCTACAACATCGAGACGCATATCATTCGATGCGTAAGGACCATATCTATTGATTCGTCTTCGATTTTTTTCGAATTTCGAATTTTTGTGGATGGAGGAGCATTTTTCGCAAAATTTTCGAGAAATTTTCGATTTTCCCCTTCCCCCCCCCCTTTTTCAAAATATTTTCAAAACTATAACGAAATTGAAAAAAACGCAAAGACCAATCTCTCGATATTTCAATTGAGAATCGAATGGTATATGTTTCATCGCTGTAGCTTCAAAACTCTAGAAGGAGATAGGTTTGCCGTGACAATAAGTGTGAATGTTCAGTAGAGCCCGACAAAGTCCCGCGCGCATCGGAATAGGCACTCAATGTAGCGAGGATACGAAACTAAACGTTACTGGACCTTGATTCCAGTCAAGGATGGTGGGAAAAACTGCATGCACACCACACCGTACGACGCCAGGCGGGTAACAGAACTGCAGCTCAAGCAGTCACTCTATTTAAGTGCTCGGCAGCTAATTTCCCCCTATCTAAAATATTGAAGAACTCCCCCACCCCCCTCCCTTTCGGTATCTGTCGTGAACGCATAAATCAACGTACAGAGATGGTTTTGGTATCGTTGGATAGCTCAGAATATCAGCTTTAAGATGAGACTAAAAACCGGAAAAGCCAATACTGTCGACTTTGCACCCAGACGCTCCCCTTAAATGCAAAACTCATGTACATGGAGATTGCACATAATCTTTTTTGCCGAATATTACTGGAATATGTAAAAAAAATATAAATAATGAACCATCATCCATAATAAGAGGATGTGCTTAATTGGTTATGAATTGCGAGTTAGAAGTGATAACAACCGTTCCTCTCCCTATTGATTGTAGTATATATGTATTAAGTACGATTGAGTAAGAATATGAAGGATTAGTACGTTTATTGATGGGTTGAAGAATGACGGCACGACCAACACTCCTTAGCTGATGTTCACCCCACGACATCGTCCGGAAAAAATGACTTTTAACACGCGATTGGCAAATTGTTCACCACTGGCGTTCTAAACAAAATTCTCAATATTTGTTGGTACGGTTTTAAAACTAAAAATAATTTCTTCGTTTACTGAATTTTATTTATTCAGAGATTATACGAGTGTTATTCGTGCTCGAGAATTGACATATTTAATGACCGAATATTTATCGTTACTCAATAGTGAAATGATGAAATGTGAAAGAAGCAATCGAGTTCAAGATAATTATGTTCCATATAGTTACAGAGGTTGACGATCACGAGTTAGAAGGTTTAAAATATTAACAACGACATTGACAAGAAATGATAGTACGAGTTATGAATACGAATCAATACAATCCTCCCATCCGTCCTCCACGCAAACCTTACAGAGCCCTTACGGGTTCTCTTCCTCGCCTTAACCCAATCCAACCCCGTACACCTTCAACCAACCTGATTATTCGCTATGCGTCTATCCTCGTCTCCAGCATCTTTTCCATTTCCTTTCCCTCTTTCTGGCGACTCATGTTGTATTGCATTCTTTTACAGAGGTACCGAGCTACATCCACTGACAGTTTTAAATCATACAACTCAACTTCCATCCGTCCATTAAAAAATACTAGTTTTAAATTAGCTGTAATAGAAATTACTCTTAAGAGACAAAAACTACTGATCAATTTCAATGATTAATAAATGCTAAATAATGATTAATGTATTTCAGCCGATATGCCTTTCTGGGTCAACACGCAGCGTGAAGAAGGGGGCTACTACCGCTGGCTTCCCGACGGCCAAAATAATACCATCCCTATTGCTGGCAGTGACGATCCCCTTGCGAAGTGTGCTGGTTTCAACGCCGCTTTCAAAACTATTTTGACGTTTCGGTGCAAGAATTTGAATAATTCACCAAAGGCCATCTGCATCGGCCCCAACACATCTCTGAAGAAGTGTTGAGAAGCACTGAGGCGGTTGCTACAACATGCACATTTTTTTATTTTTCTTGATATATAAGCTTTGCGTGAAGAGTGAAATATTGCATGGGCCTTCTTACGGTTCCCGTTTGTCAACAATCCTTAGTTACCAACAGCCTATATAGATTTTGTCTTTAGGAGGAAATATTTCTTCATGATGAGACAATCTGCTTTAATCTGCCTCGCCAATGAGTTAACAGAATTTATTTTTGCTTTGCCAGTATGGATACATTCTGACACTAAGAACCAACGAGGGTCCAGCAGACACTGCAGTTTCCTGGCTTGTATGTCGAGGAACCTGCAGTGCTGCCATTGTGTCGCTTGTGTTTCTGATGTTCGAAGTCAGTTTGCGTTCAATGTAATCCGAGACATCAAATGCTGCTGTNGTGTGTTGTGACGAGTGTGTTGTGACGAGTGTGTTGTGACGAGTGTACCAACTAGTGTTCCATCACCCGGCATCACGCGCTCCACTGATGGCAGATTTAAACGCTGTTAAAGAACCGTCGCTGTTGAGTTTTGCTGTTGAAATAGAGCTGGTATTTTACGCCTTCTTCACCTGCCTTCTTAAAGCTTCCCTGTGTTGCACCAATAAACATCCTCGCCTCATTGATGTGTTTCTGTTCTGCCCATTACAAGTTGTTCAGTAATATGAACAGAATGTTGGCCGGAGATTTAGGGAAGTACAACATCGGAGAAGAATTACAATTCAATTCTATGTGCTTCAATTAAAGAAAATGAATATTCGAGTAGTTGTTTATTAATACGCTCCATTGATTTTATTATGCTTCAACAGAATTTTTCGTTTGAAGTGAATAGGCGAATAAAATTCTGATGCAACAATTCACATTCCAGGAAAAGGAGAAGTGTAAATCTCTGCTTGCTGATATCTTAGCTAGGAGGAAAGAAAGTCATTTATGAAAATTTAACAAACTAATGATATGCAAATTGCTTGTGGTTTATTATAGTTTGTTTCTAGACAGTAAAAACGGGCAGGTACTACATTCCTGATAACTACAGTATGCTAAGAATTTAAAAGCAAAGAATAGTCCACAAAAATTCATATCTTTATAGAAAACGTTTCGGAGACCAGCTCCATCGTTAGTTTCTTAGAATCTACAATCACAAATCAGAAGTCACAAATTTATACATTGAGAGCGCAGAACGAAATTAGAAACCTAAATTTACAAATAATAAACTGAGCACAAAAAAGCTATATATTCACAATTTCAAAGGGATAGGAGCTAACAGCTGAATTCAAACTGGGCCTAAGTTTAGAGATGAACAATGATTCTAAAATGCGCAAATCGGAAGTCCCGGAGGTGGAAGCTAACACCCTAAAGTTACTGTCAGAAATAGGGACATCACACTGCTCGGCGTGAGCGCACACAGCCGAATGCATAGGGGGGCACGCTAGCAACTTTCCGGTTCTACCCAAATAAAAATTAAGAGTGGAGCACCTATGTTTTTATGATGGATATAGGCGGACGCCATAGGTGGAGCAGCTTTGATTTATACAGTGAATTATGGGTGGCGTGCACCACCTTTACCATACCTATAACCTGCCTATGGCCTCCCTAAACGTAAAGCTCTCCTTCCGCCAATAACTACCCATTGGCACCAGTGGCACATTGATGAGCCAGGCGTGGCCACTTTTAAAACGAAGACGGTAAAAACTTAAAATTAACTTTCTGATTCGATGCGTATGTATTTACTGACATAGTTCCATACAATCACCATCCTAAGGGCTGCGTATGTAGTCTACCATTATAGTACAAGTAACAATGTCAGACATGTAGCAGGAACAAATTTTCAGAGTACCATACACATACCTCGTGAGAAATAGAGTTGAAGAAACTCCCTGCCTGCAGGATTCGAACTCCGGTCTCCCCCACGCGAAGCAAAGCCTTTACCGTCGAGCTATAAGAGAGGACTAGGCACTAAAGTAATTTTAAAATATTTGACTGAAGTATTGCAAGTATTAATTTCATCAAATGGCAGAAGTTAGTGCTACCATCGTGATGATTAGATCGTTTCATCAACAATTTTATTTGAACAAGCTGCTAGATTCGAGTAAACAGCCACCGAAACAAAATTCGTTTATTCATAGCGAACGATGGTTCAGCTCAGAGTAAAGGCTACGGAAAAATGCTTAATAAGCATCGAAGTTTCATAGTGTGAACATTGCACCAATATTGACAGCGGTTTGATTCGAAATATTTTCGCCAAGAAAATTCTTGCGTGAAACAAGGAATAGATATCACTCGATGATTTTAAATGTCAGGCGTGAATTACCTGCACCACTTCGAGTCACTATTTTCTCAAGCCTAATCTTTAATCTTATGCGTACAAAAGATACCGGAACCACTCAAGTAGAAATTTAGAATTAAAATCGAAATAATTATCTGCCTGTATGAGCAAATTTCCCTAAATAATTAAATTCCACTATCGAAGTAAGCGATAGAAAGCAGAATTTGTATTCGTATCCCTCTGCGTATAAATGATACCTTTTTGACAAGCAAATTACCCGGAAAGCACACATTTCAAGCAAGACATGGTAAAGATTAGTAGGAAGCTTAACGCCGACTCCCGTAAACCCAACTCGTGTGAACGTGTGCTTACTCGACTTGCTCGCTGCACTTGAGAGCCGCATGTTCCTCGTACAATTTATATCAGGAGCAGTCTGATACATGCCTAGTGGCTTCACTTTGGTTTGAAAATTTGTGAACACCTTACTTCTAACTGTCAGTTTTACTCTTGCCCACCGAATTCACGCTAAATTTTTGCAAAATTTTCTTTCCGGAACTTAATCTTAGAAGCCAAGCACACAGAACGAAGTCATGGTTTCGTCTTGATCTCGAATGACCCACAACCCAATAACACCTTTCTTTCTACGTTGGATAAATTACAGTGGCCAATACCATCGTGCAGTATAGCTGTGCAGCTTGGGTAAACGGTTATCGGTGATTCACAAGAGATTTGGCTGCAATGTGTCATAGATGTTTCAGACCCTATAAATCATCCATGATTCATCGATGACTCCCACCTATACTCGCCACCTTTTCGATTTATAGGTGTTTTATTGTCGATTTTCGGCAGATCTGGCCACCCACCGTTACGCCACCAATAATCTACTATCGCCACCTATAATCATCGGTGCGCCACCCTTAATTTTTATTTGGGTACAACTCCTGCCCTTATGCTCAGAGACCCTGGAATAAAGACTGCGTGACGTCATCCCGTTTTCTATAAAGATATGAATTTTTGTGGACTATTCTTTGCTTTTAAATTCTTGGTTAATTTGCGATTTAAGTGATATCAATTCTACAGTATGCTGTATGGCTTATACTGTGCTATTCGGTCGTATGCAAACGGCTGGCTGCCAGCCAATCCATTTGCTGTCGAAAATAGTATAGTTTTAAGTTAGTCGTTAAATGTTAACTTTAAGCTTGCATAGAGTTCGATTAATAAACTAAGCTAAAACTAGACTTAATACTATAATTTTCGTTCTATAATGCATTTCAGTACTACGTTACATTCAAACTACATAATTGCCTGGCACCACCTTAGCGATTTTGAGGTATTAGAGGCTTGCGGTTTCTGGATTCCCTTTGAATGGAACCCAACTTCAAGCCAATCGACTAACTATCCGCAGTCTTCTCTAGCACCTCATTCCGTGACCAGTTCCTCCTGCGGCTGTCGATTTATCAGTATCCCAGGACGCTATGACCGGAGTTACGGTACTGCTTCGTCGTCGCACGTGATGGGTGTCATGAGGTGCTAAGTTCTCCACGTCCGCAAGTTCTCCTGAGCCCAGTTGGACCACTTACTTGATATTTAATTTTAATAATTACACCTTAATGGATATTTAATGGATAATAGGAGAAATTTAATATATTGCATGCTGGCATGCTATTTCTTTGTTACTTGATAAATGGGCTGTGCCCTTAATATTACTAAATGATAGTTGACCTAAAACTATATTAGTACAAAATTGATGAATTGATAAGTTAATAGATATA